CCCTTCGAGGATAAAAGGCGTGATGTTATGTTATTCCTGTCAGACAGGTGGACGGACAATTCAATTTTTATATTCAATAGTTTCAAAAGTATCTAATTAAGGATTAATTGAAATAAATACTTTTAAATAAGTATCGTGAAACATATTAAATTAATTAAAAATCGCGGGTTACTCACGTGAATATACTGAGAAAAGCTCTACTAGTTTCGAACAGAGGGGTTCTTCCTCATGAGCAGCGTGCGCGGCGACATGTGAGTAACCCACGATTTGTAGACGATTTGTAGTGGAAATAAATAGGTACTTTGACTTAGACCTCGGTTCGATTATTAACAAAACAAAAAACCTGTGGCACCCCTAATCCACTATGCACTAAAAGCTCTTAATAGAACCTACGAAAAATACTAAGAGGCATCCTTAACGTTAATTTTTTTAATAGAGTTGCCATTTAATTTTAATTAAGCGGGAAAACGGGGCCTTTCTATGTCTGGATTTTGTGATTCACCCCAAGGCAGGGGTGAGAGGGAACCTCGGCCCTCGCAACTCCAGACCCCCTGTCTGTGAGATACACTTATATCTAAAACGTACATTATTAAGTACTAATTTGGGGTGCAGGAGTACTGAGTGATATATCGATATTTGTATCGGAGCTTCAACTAATTAATGTCGTGCGCCATGAGGTGCCTTTCACGAGAAATAGAGAAAACCCTACACGCAATTATGGATCGTATCGATACCCTTTGTTGAACAAAATACTAGGAACTCGAACTACTTTGAAATGAAATACATTTCGATTTAAACGTTTTATAATTTTATTCCACTGTAGTATCTAAGCGTCTCGGGTTTTAAGCGTGGAGTATCTATTTAAATGTTTTAAGTGGTATTCGAATGGAGCTTCACAATAAATCCAATACTACCACTTGAAAATGTTGGAAATTCATTAGAAGAAAACTGTACAGTGCACTTTGCTTGCTCTTCAACGTACAACGCAAATTGTATCAAATCTACCTCCAGGTAGGAGAAATAGAATGAGAAAAACTAATCCCTTTGTTCCTAGAATATCAGCGTTGTCTTTCTAAGTGCTTAAGCGCTCATTTTTTTTAATATCCTTTTCAGTATTGAAGTATGTTCTTATCCGTTAAATGTTTTTATCTTCCCTTGGAAAACTCCTATAAATAGATGATAATTTAGGTAATCTTGTGCTTAAGCGCTCATTTTTTTATATTGTTTTCAGAGCTGAAGTATGTTTTTATCCGGTTAATAACCTTTCCTTGGAAAATTCCTATAGATAGATGATAATTTTAAGTATTCTTGCAATTACTTGGAACTATGGAATTAATTTAGTTTACAGTGATACCAAAGCTCACAGGCATATATATTTATAAATTGATATACAAATTATGTGATGTGACTTAAATTAAGATTTTACTTAAACGATAATTTGCAAGAGAGCATAATAATTACCGTCACAATGTATTAATTACCAAAATAATAAAGACGCGAAGTCTCTCTTCATATTGGTCGCTAACAAATCACCCTAATTTGTTAGACAGTTTGAATACCAAATTTTTACACCTAAGTATTATGTTAGGGGAACTCGTTAAAACTGGATTACTTACCTACTTTTTCTTTTCAGTGATATACTTACTTGATTATTTGATTTACTTACATCGTCATGTCAGCTACAAGAAGTCTACACGACCACGAGCCTTATGAAATACCAGACCAGATACCAGTTGACAGTGACCAGCATCAAACAGCTCCCTATGATCTGAAGTAAGTCATCATATCCATCTTGTGCGCCTGCATACCTTGTTATTAATTATTTAATTTTTTTATAGGATAGGCCCGGTAATCGAGCAGACGGTTCACCTGATGGTGAAGAAATCGGCACCGCACATAGACACCGGGGACACCAGAGGCGTTTACAAGTGCGTCACCGATCATTTAGGGATTAGGAATTAAGGGATTGTTGGGGATTTAAATGATTTTGTTAAGGGGTGTTTATTTTTTTACTCCAAGGTTATAAAGCCTCATGGAACCCCTTGCTTGATTACTCAATTTTTAAATAAATGATTGGACTTTAGACTTTTGTTTAATAATTATAACTATAGAGTAGATAATTATGATTATACTCATAATTATAACTATTAGAATATTATAGAGTTATAACATCGTTAGGTTATTACCAATCTAGAGGATTTTGAGTACCTATCAATGATAAACTTCTAACTTTGAAGAAATATAAAATAGAATGTAATCCCGATTTAGTGGTACTTAAGTTAAATATCATTAATATTCACATTGAATTTGATTTGATTTGACCTCTAAATTATTCACTGTTAATAATTTAGTTCTGAAACTTCTATTACCTGTCAAAAGTCCCTCAACGTCAAACAATTTTTTTATTACCAACTTTAATCTATTGAATTAAATTCACTTAGCAATTACAAGTTTTATAGACTTCATAAGAAGTGATTGAAGAAAAATCGTTTTTAATGTTCTTTGAGAAATCAAAGAAAAATTAACCTTTGAGTTTGTATGGATTCATATTTATTACGATTGGTATTGTGAGTTCGATGAACCGATGTTGTTCACCTTGTGTTTAAGTTTTTTGTTTATTATAACTGCGTGAGTGCTCGGTGGGATATGGAATCAATTTTCGGTTTGATTGGAATAGGTTTACGCCCTTTGGTTGCCTAAAGAAGAGTTAGCAGTATTGTGTACATTAACTTTATTAATTGTTTTTTTCTAGCGTGTTAGCAAGGGTGACTACCATATTACGAAAAAGGTTTGTTTGCCAACGATTACATAGATTCAAGTAAAATATTGTTGGTTTATATTTTTTAAGAGAAAATTGTCTTTTTGAACTGATGAACGACACGACTGCCTTTTCAATTTCAAAATTCTCATCAGTAATTCTAGATTTTAGCATTTAAGGTCAATAAGCTTTGCTTTTTATTATTACATGATTGTAGTTACACAACAGTTTAGAATATTTGAGTATTCACTCCTTACCTTAGGCCTTAGGCTATCTCTTTAGATACCTGAGGCGATATACTTCAAAAATAATCCATAACTTAGTTCAGTATTGAATAGTAGTTACGTGATTGTTTTATGAGTGTGTATCTCACTGTGAATGTCACGACTTTACGACAGCACATCAAAGTACATCATTCATGTCGACTTTAATCAATTTTCAACTTTAACATCTTGTTTCTAAAGTTGGGATTCCTGTAAACTTATGTGGTATAGATTAATGTGCGTCTGTACCGTCACTGTGCCCGTGGGCTAGATCATGTTTAGAGATGAAGACTTCGACTCTCTGATGTCCTATGATGAACTTTCCACTTCCTACTTTCAATTCACATGAATATATGTACTTTGTTTAGATACTTTAGATTGCGTATTAGTTTTGTATGTGTGTGATAGTTGAATAGGTCGCAAGCGTGACGTCTGTATTGAGATGAGGTTCATATTATGGATTAATTGGATTTAGATTTTTTCGTCGTTGACTGACTGAGAGACTGAAACTGCCTCGTTAGCCGAGTGGTCGCAAGTGCGACTGCCGGGCAAGGGGTCTCGGGTTCGATTCCCGGGTCGGGCAAAGTAATACTGGGTTTTTAAAAAAAAATCTCAGGAGTAGCACGGAGTCTGGAAATGTGCCCGGTATATGGCAATAGGCTCACCCCCTATTATATGGGACTCGTAACATAAATCGTGAAAAGCGGGTGTTACTTCTGTGTGCAACTCAGCCTACCCCTTCGGGGATAAAAAGGCGTGATGTTATATTATGTAATGTTATATTTTTTCGTCTGTGAAGATTTGTGCTAATTGAAATTAATTGTAATTATTGTAATGATAAGTTGCTTGACTATAAAGTCTTGTTTTTGAGTATCGGGTTTATGAGAAATGCATTTTTGATTTTAACTTTTGACTGTAAGCTTGTATCCTTTTCGCAGAATTAATATTTTATCGGGTGAAAAGTTATTTAAGTCTTTTTATTTTGTATTTTCTGTAAGTTCTCGATATCTCGATATCTAGTATCGATCATGTGGCCTATTTTGGGTATTGTAAAATTGTGTGTTTCATAATTGGCATTTAAATTGAGTTTTATTCGGTTGTGTGTGTATATGTATGTCATTGAGTCTGTATTTATGTCCATCATTTTTAGGAGATATAAAATGAAACTAGATCTCATTATTCATAACTCTTGTATTACTAAAACTTAAAAACAAAACAAACTTGTACTTTACATCGACCGAGAAACGAACTTGTGACCCGGTCGTCCTTTAAACCGATCGAACTAACATTGCAATGTCCAAAGAGAAATGAATTTTTGGTTTATGTTCCACTAAAAGGAAAAAGTTAAGAAAAAATGTAAACTATTTAAACAGGACATTACAATTTAATCCAATACAACACTTTTCTGCTGATAAAAATTGCATAAACTGTGAATACTATTTGAGAAGTTAATATATTTGGCTCCACTATTACAAAACAAAGATTACCACAATTAAAATCAGCAAAAAAGACAAATAAAAACATGTCTTTGAACAGACATAACAAAATAACTAAAGCCTCTTTTACCACTTTCAAGTAATATTAAACGGTAAACAAATCTGTATGGAAGCTGTACACGTTATGCACGCAGTTGATATTGTTTCGAGTGTTAAACTAAGATGTATACATGAGAGAATCGGCCATGGGATCAGGCCCATTGTCGGCCACGAACAATAGACTCAAGAGGAGGAAGTGAACTGCGTTAAAATGTATGAAACTATTACGTAAAACTCACTTCCTAAGGCGCACGCAAAGCTAAACACATTTCGCAGTCGCAATTTTGGAAAAGAAAATATTTCTAACACTCGCCGGAAAGCATTCACCTTCGCGTACGCCCCGCACTTACACAAATAAAAATATTTACAAAAATTGGTACTTGACGGTAACAAATAGTTAACAAATGACTAAAAAATATGTACAAGGAAGATTTTTACCTAATCTTAGTCCCATCCGTGGTGTTCTTCGTGATGTTCTTCGTGGTGGATTGGTACCCACACCTTCTGCCAGACTGGTTTCCATACCTTCTTCCACGCTGGCACTTCAATAGACTTCCATACAGGTACCTGAACCTGCTTCCATTTCTCTACCCAGATCTTCTTCTGTACTGGTACCCAGACCTCTTTCTTGACTGTCTTCCAGATTTGTACTTTCTCTTCTACCCACTCTTGTTTCTTCTCGGTGACCCACGCTTGTTTCTTCTCAGTCCTCCAGACCTGTTTCCATTCTTCTTTCCATTCCAGCTTCTTTTCAGTTACCCACACTTGCTTGTGCTCTGTCTTCCAGACCTTCTTCCATACGGGCTTCCAGATCATCTTCTTCCTCCAGAGGTCGTGGCTCGTGTATTCCCAACCGTGGTCATCTTTACCTAGGTACTTTTCTCCGGGTACTCCTTCCTTTACCCATTCAGGGACGTGGATTTGTTTCCATTCAGGTACCTGTACTTCCTTAGTGTGAGGGACTTGGATTTCTTTCCAAACTGGTTTCCATACTTTTTTCCAGTCTGGAACCTGAACTTCCTTCCAGATGGGTACCTGCACTTCCTTCCAGATTGGTTTCTGAACTACCTTCCACGCAGGTACTTGCTCTTCTTTCCATTGTTGTACTTTTTCAGTTTTCCATGCTGGTACTTTTTCTTTCTTCCATTCAGTTTTCCAGACCAGTTTCTTTTCTGTTTTCCAGATTTGTTTCCAGTCTTCCTTCCATACGAGTTTCTTCTTCCACACTCCCTCAGGTGGTGGAGAGTGCCAACCTCCAGGGGAGCGTTTATCACGAGATAACTCAGTGTCCTTGGCCGTCTCCTGGATAGGTACGGCTAGTGATGTGGCGCACGCCAACACCACCCATATCTGGAACAAACAAAGCGGCATTTAATTACAAAATAGCTTCACTTTCCCACAATTAAGATTGAAGAGTCGTATTTAAACGGTCGATGTATTTTTACCGGTTTCACTTTTACGGAATTAATTTATACTCTTTTATTGTGTTGCATATAATGTTATGTAACGTATCTAACTGTATACACTCATTAGGCATTCTGTTTATATTCACGTCAAGTAGGAAACAATATTTAATGCAAATCTTTAGAAAAAAAAAATATGCACACAAAAATAATATTTATAAATTGATACGATAGCGTTATGTTAATGCTATTTTAAGTTATTGGCAACTTTAGAAATCAGTATTGTGCTTTCATAAGTGCGCCCGCGCATCCGACATGAATGATACGCTGTTACGTATGGACGTAGGTAAATGTTATTTAACGAGGCCCGGGTCAATTATTCGGATTACGGCTATTACAAGATCACATATCGAGTCATTAAATATTTATCTTCTTATGTTTTATTTATTATTTAAACCGAATTAACAGATCGATCACTGAATATTTTTATACGCGATAATTTTCACGATCGTTATAAATATTAGAATTATATCAAATATTACAGTTACATTTAAATCAATTATTAGATAACGTTATAAATTTAAAATTCATCGAAGTACATAACAATTTTTAAATCACTAATTTATTTTTACGAAACTGAAATCGCGAATTTTTATTTTTATATTTTGTCGAACACTGTTAGCGAATTATCGAGAGTCACTTGTTTATTATTTTATTGTTTTTAAAATATCACGATAAATGGTCACTTCACACACTGCACCCACCGTAATAGTCAGCGTCCTCATTTTGGTATGATGCCCGCCGCGACTGACGATGGGTCGTCTGCGCAGGTTTTTATTAACGGGCCCCTCTCTCACTCCTGCGACCGTGATACGGCAAAGCTAAGTGTCGTAGGAGAGGGTTGAGTTTCTAACTCAAGATGTGCGTACAATTATTATTGTTTTGGTTTTCTTATCATGCGACTAACGGCTTGCGCGAATTTTTTATTTCTTGTTCCGTCTTTTTTATTGGCGAATTTTTATTTTGTTTTTATTTTTGTGTTTAGTTAACAGTTATTCGGCTTACACATGTTTTTTTCGTATTTAATAAATGTTTTTAGGATTTGTTTTAAGTCGATTTATAGCTTGTGAGAAAGTTATAATCTATAGTTGAACATTGTATCAAAAATTCATACTTTCATATCTTAGTTTTCATGGGTCATCGTTACGCAAAAAAGAACTTAATTTATACAAATCAGATTTTGAAAAATATTCGAGTAATTTTGGTAGAAGTGAAAGTACTGGTTTTAGTTCATGAAAAATTGTTTGTTGATGTTAATGTAGTAAAGAAATCAACGACCTTCATTGGATGTGAATCGTGACAAAACTTCTTGTGAATCATGAGGTGAACACACAAATAGGTAGCAAGAAAAAAGGTTCATAACACATAGGTGTATTATGTTAGTTCTATCTTATTTAAAGTTATAGTTTGGCTGTGTGGTGAAGTGATGTTTTAATTCTAATCTGTGTACAATTATGCAGTGTATAAATTGTGGAGACAGTGAGTTTACAGTTGAGTTACATTTAGTCAGATCGATGTTATTAAGTTGATGTATGCATGGGCTGTGGTTATAGACGATGTATGTATGTGTGTGCAATATTACACCGTAGAGTGTGAGCCATAAAAAATTTGGTATACTTTTTGTCATTGTCTGTGTACAATGATTTCGTTATCAATATTGTATTAATATTTATATATTTATTTTTATTTATTTAAGACTTAGTACAGTAACAAATATACAGGTGGATTTAAAGCCTTGGGCATTATCTCACAGACGACCTTAAGGTGGTGCAGAGATGAAAGTGGCAGGTGACTAAGCAAATATTGATAATAAATAATAATATCAGAGTTCTAATTGATTAACTATAATGATGATCGAATAATTGATCACTTGTTTTTACGTACTATGAGCATTTATTAGTAGCAGTCCTTTGCCTTTAACTTTGATTTGTAATGTTTATACCAATAATAACTGCCTCATTGGCCGAGTGGTCGCAAGTGCGACTGCCGGGCAAGGGGTTCGAACCCGAGAAGGGCAAAGAATTACGGGGTTTTAAAAAAAATCTCAGTAGTAGCAGGGGGTCTGGAATTGTGCCCGGTATATGGCAATAGGCTCACCCCCTACTACATGGGACTTATAAAATAAATAGTGAAAAGTTGGTTTTATATTGTACAGTGGCATAATGTGCACCTCTGCCTAATTCTTGGATAAAAAGCGTGATTTTATGTAATTATCTTAAAACCATAAGTAACTATGAATGAAAAACACGAAGATCCTTGTATAAACTTGATCTTAACTTTAAGTTGAGAACTTAAGGTGATACCACAGCGTAGATGCATAGACGAAGCTTGCAACAAACTATAGCTCAACTTAAGTTCGTGTCAATGGTTGCCATTGACGTACAAATTGATGTCTGCTCCATCTTAATATAGAATTGCGCAGACGATATTTGTGGTTTCCAAGTTATTCATATGTATTTAGATTTTAGTTTATGATACACTTGATCTTGTGATTTGATTAGGTACTTGATTGCTGTTTGGTTTTAGGCACCGACTTAGCACTTTATAGAAGTTTGTTTGAGTTGTTGTTTAGTGAATAGTTAGGGTTTTTGAACTATTTTCTTATTTATGAACAGTTTGATGATTCCGATGCTTTGTTCGATAAGTAGTGAACTGAGATTTTCAGTTATTATAAGTTCGAAATATGGATAAGTGTCTAGTTTCATGTTTGTTGGTGGTTGTGTACGGTCAGTTTGGTCGTGTGTAAATTTATTACTTATAGAAACAATATTTCATTGGATTGGTTGAATGGTCACAAGTGCGAATGGCAATGGGTCTCGGGTTCAATTCTCGGGTCGGGCGAAATATTATTGGGTTTTAAAAAAAAATTAGTACGCACGCAGGTAGTCTGGAATTGTGCCTGGTATATGACAATAAGCTCACCCCCTATTACATGGAACTCATAACATAAATAGTGAAAAGTGGGTGTTACATTGTACTGTGGCATTAAGTGCTGTACCTCACCTCTGCCTTCTACTTCGGAGATTAAACTGTCAAACACCAAGCGGTCACCGGTGACCGCGACCTATTGTTCTTTAATTGTGTCTATAAAACCGGTACTCAACGAGTTAAAGCCGTGATGATATATTGTGTTATTTTAATGCATTTTTCGTCTTTTAATGATCTAGTTAGTGATATGGACTATAGCACAGCTAAGTATTGTCATGGGCTTTTGTGATTGGATATGGAGGTGTGTTTGGCCGACACTTATCAGAAAGACAAGCAAAAAACATACACAATAAAATATGAACCTTTTATTTTTGCTTTGTGCGTGTTATTTCATGATTCATTCGTTCGGTTAACATCGACTTTTAAACTTTCGAAGTAGCTAAACTTCGGTTCACATTAGTTCTAAACAAATACATCAAATTATAGAATTCTAATTAATAACTATGTGTAGTAAGGCTCTAAATCACATGGCAAATGTATGAATGGTTCAAGTATTTTGTAAGTAATCAGCGTAAAAATGGCTAATCGATTTTCATCCACTTTGATATCGCTTTCTATCACATGATCGGTTTGCAATACTGATTTACGTAATGTTTTTAATTCATAGAAGTTTGCGATGTGTGTGCGTGTGTGTGTGTAAGGTGGGTATTTTTATAACAGGAATAATGTCATTTTTAATAGTGGTAGGCTAAATTATTATATGTATTAATGTATTTTTAGATAGGTAAATGAAAACGTGCATAAAATTACTACTATTATTGATGGCTGTTGATGAAGCGAAAGAGGTACCTATGTAAGAATCGTAGTAATTGGCGTTCCATAGTTGTTCGCGCCTACCCCCATGGGAGACACGAGGTTATGTATGTGTGTAAATATAGAGAATCGTAAACTTTTAACAATTCTACTATATTTTTTCTCCTCTTAAAATATCTTCTGATTTATTTTGTTGCGGCAATCAAGACCCTCCATAGGACTCATAACATAAATAGTAAAAAATGGATGTCACATTTTACAGTGGCATTAAGCGTCGTAATGTGCACCTCTACGCCTACCCCTTCGGTTATAAAAGGCGTTATGTTGCGTATATAACTTGCGTATCTGGCTCATTGCTCGGATTGAAGGAAAGTGGCTACACAGATTAGTTGTGGTATCATCTTTCTATTCGGTACTACTAACATAACGCGTGGCCTACTGCGACGTCACCGCGACCGCGCAAGCTGCTCATTAGGGAGAGTCCACTGTGACTAGAAAAAAGTAAAGCTATTCTCAGTATATTTACGAGATCAAACCGTTAGTTTTAGTTAACACAGTATGTCTCAGAATAGTTATTATTCAAATAATGGGTTTACTTATTACCGATAGACGACACTTAAGCAGTTTCCTACTCTAATTGGAGACTGGTCACCACGATCGAGATATTTCACCAAAGTACTACGTACTATATTCCCATACACACAAAAGGGTCAGTAGTTAGCTAATCTAGCAGCATTGTGTGGAGATCAAAGATCACATTGTACACTATTGTATGTGCTAGTACATCATTGTCTACAGAATGGAGTGATCGATCTAAGTTCATTCTGTTATACAATCTACAATCAAAAGGCAATTAGAGGTTTTGTATGAAAAGACACATGTTGGTCATATGGCATGGTCGACGACTTACATGGGCGGCAAAACGCCAGTGCTATATTGTAAAGGGCAGGTTCATTCTCCCCAACGAAGTGGGCTTCATAATCATTCACCACCTCGGGGTCAAAAAAAAGATCGTAAAATGTTAATTCAATGTCTGCCTGGTAGATTAATTCAAAACATTAGACACGAATTTTTCTTTTCTTATAGAATTAAATACTTTCGACGATATATTGATTTGAAATATCGTGTAACGTCACGATTTATTATATGTTATAAGGAGCGGTGAAA